AAAAATAATAATAAAAAAAATATGAAACCATTTATGTAGAGTAGTAAATTTCCTACAACACTCTGAGTTTTGAAATTAGCATTTTTTAGTTATAAGATTTCGAAGAAAAAATTTCTCAAGGCAATTATCGCACCTCAATCGTAAATATATTCTAAACGTTTAGATTACGAAAATATTGTATTAGAACTCTTTATGGAGCATTGAATTTCATACAAAGTCCATAAAACAAAATACTTTTTCAAAGAGCTGGAACCGAGTTTAAAAATTTAATTTAAAGCAAAGGCCCTTCGCGCTACAATATATATATTTTCCCGTATTTCCTTGGAACATAGGGCCTCGACAATTAAGAGCCAATTGGCGAGCTTTCGTAGAGGCGCCTTCTACTTCTTTATTGCCGTAGACAGCGCTTCCGCGGTTATAGCCCAGTTGAGTCGTAGAGGTCTATAAGAACCCATTTTTCAGCGAACAAAGCAAACAAATTTCAGTGTTTGACCCACCCTAATATATATCGGTTACATTTACGTAAAATTTTTCTATATACTTTTTTGCCACACTGCTGTACAAAATACTTTACTGCTTTTACATGAATGCATATACAATTTCAGCTTGTTTGTATTTATATTTTATTACACATAATAATAATAAAAATCAACATTACAAAGATAATAATAATAATAATAAAAGCATTTCGTTTATTTTAACTTAAGTTGTTAGTTGAAATTTTGCGTTCTTTACTTTTTATAGCATTAATTATTTATTTTCATTTTAATTGTAATTGTATTTGTAATTGGTAATTGTAATTTACTTGCTGTCAGCTTAAATATAAATTTTTGTATAAAATTAATGTAAATAAAAAATAGACTTCTTTCTTTTCTCATTTGCTTATTGTGTGCTTTAAAGTAGTATTTCCGCTGCTGCTTCTTTTTAAACGCTTATTTTTTATGTATATATGTGTACGGGTGTGTATACTATAAGTTTTAAAGGGTGGCTTGATTTTTGTTACATTCTCTGCATTATTCTTTCACTTGGTATGTGTGCGGGTGCTTTTAAGATGAGTTTATAGCATATATGTATGTATATACACATACGGTATGTAAAATACATCGTTTAAATATGTACGTACATATATTTTTACATATATAATGTGTAGATCGGTCACTAATTTGTATTTGATACTCTGTTTATTGGATGTGTGCGAAGCTGAAGTATAGTTTTACTGCGTTTGTTGTTGGATTTCAATCTTCTCCACTGTCATGTCTGGATTCATAGCTGTCGCCTCCTGTTCATTTTGAAAAAAAAAAGAAGTTTGCAATTAAGTTGTGATTTATAGTTTCTAAGCAATGAATTTCAAAACTCACCTGAATTGCTTCAGCCAATGCCTTGTCATGATCAATTGGATCGCCATCGGATTGTATGGTGATCTTCTGTTCAACACGTGTTTCCACAATGCCATCACGTTCGGTTTTATACTGTGGGAAAATTTGAAAATAAATATGTATAAATATGAGGAGAGTTAATATTTGAAGCAAAGAATTTTAGAGATTTTTTATTATTTTATATGGTATTAAAATTAAAACAACAGCGTAACTGGGTTAAGTAAATATACTGAACTCTCGTGAGACCACAGTTTCATAAACAGTTTGAAACCTTAACTTCGGTTGCTTCAACAACTAAAATTTCCTTCGCAAATAAAAAGATATCCTCGCAAGCTCTTGTATCAGATGGTTTGTATCACAGTTATATGCCTATATGCCACAGTTGTCCGATCTGAAAAATATATTCGCATGTAGCGGCATTGCCTTGGACAATAATATTTGCTAAATTTCCTGAAGGTAACTTGTCAAATAAAAAAGCTTGTCAAACAAAAAATTAAAGTTGATACTTCAGTTTATATGGCAGCTGTATGCTATAGTCAACCGATATCGACAGTTCTCAGCAGCTTCTTGATAAACATCGCAATAACAAAGCCCCTATGAGAAATATTTCTTGATTTACAATCAAGAAATCGATTTCGTCAACAGGCTCGGGTGCTAACTGCAGAATGCACAAAGTAAAATCGGCGTTTGGAACACGCAAATCTCTCTAAGCAAAAAACTTGGAATATTCGACACATGCATGAGGTCCCTGCTGATATATGGAACCGAAACCTGGCTGGTCTAGTAGTTAATTACTCAGAGATTCCAGGGTTTTATTCAAACAAGTACCTAAGAACAAACTGCCCAAAATAAAAGATAAACATATATGGAAGTAAATTAAGCACTCTGAGGAAAACTCCCAACAGTTTGAAGATCTCCTTTGACTGGAATCCGAAGAAAGCAAAATTCGGTGTCGACCTAAACTAGAGAAGGTCGGTAGATCGGCGTTTAAAATTTGAAAACCTTCAGAAACACAAATCTCAGAATATTCAGTGCCACACACCAGCTAATCATAATATGGTCCAGAACTACATCACTCACAGAATACAAGCTTTAATCAGCAAGTGTATACGAAGTAACTGCAGAACACACTGGATCAAAACTACAAGCAATCAAGCGCTATGGAGATGATCGAATAAGAAACCGAGAAACCCAAAGCAAATTATGTGCTGAAACTGGCGATTTTAGACCATACTCTATAAGTAAGACTTCAGACAGCGTTGTGAGGATACCGCTTGACTGGAGTCCGCAAGCAAGGAAGCATAAATCGCAGCGGACCTTAACTAAATCGGTACTGCATATATTAGCAAAAACAAAATCACCTGAGACGGCGCGACCTTCTAGCGGCTCAATGTTTCAGAGGAGAGTAACATATTACTATCTAATAGTTAGATAAATCACCTCTAACCCCAAAAGCCGTTTATATTTTACACTATTTTGGACAAACAATATGTAACTACTGACAAACACATATACCTTAAATCGTATAATGCAACTAAATATATTTTTGATATTTTAATTAGCTAAAGCAGACAAATTTTCACAGTTATATACAAAATATACAGTTTTAAGCTGAAACTAAAATGTATATACGAACCAGTTGGTTCTTTTTAAATTTTATAATAATATACCCAAGGCATCTTTAGCTACTTTTTAAGAAATACATTCTCGATTAAATATTTTCGACTACTATTGATCGAAATATCGATTAATGTGTAAAATACATATATTATTGAAATTCAGGGATAATCCTCTCTAACAATGGTATGTCTATAACCATATAACTAGTACCAGGATTTTTGTACATATGACTAACTTTGCTCCATATGATTGGTGATTGTATGTGAGGTACCTTAACGAAACCGAACGATGGGACAGCAAACGACACCATATTTTTTCCCGCTCTTTTGACATATTTCTTTAGTAAGGTTTGGCATTTCAACATGGAAAGATATACGATCCAACAACGAGTCGAAATTATTAAAATTTACTACCGAAATTCAGAGTCAGTGTCCCCAACTTTATGAGCGCTACGTCCAATTTGTGGTCGTCATAATCGTCCTGTCAGATCAACAATTGAGCATCTAGAGGAAAAATTTCAATCTACAGGCAAAGTATAGAATGTTCCCGTGCCAGTGAGACAAAGAAGTATCGAGAATATTGCTGCCGCTAGCGAATCAATTAAGAATGACCCAAATCAGACGACATCACATGTCGTTCTCAAGCGAAAAGATCTCGGCCTACATTATTTCAAGATCAGATTGATGCAAAAGCTGAAGCCGCTGGACCAATCGTCGTATGTTCGTGAATTGGGCTGAGCAACAACTTGAAAATGGTACAGCTTTTCATCTGGCTGAATGGCTTCATAAATTAACAAAATATGCACTATTGGTCAGATAGCAGTCCAGACGTACTCCATAAGTCACCATTGGAAGATAATTACGGTTTGGTGCGGTTTATGGTCCGGCAGTGTAAGTTACCGTACTTCTTCCGTGATGATCAAGAATGGGAATCGCTAGCGTTCAAAGATAATCGAATATTTTTAGCCCGAATTGGATGATATGAACTTGGACAATATGTGATTCCAACAGAACGGCGCCACATACCACACAACGAATGTCATAATCGATTTATTGAAAATCAAGTTTGGTGAACGTGTTATCTAAGGAAAAGGCCCAATCAATTGGCCGACTTGGTCGTGCGATTTGACGCCGTTAGACTAGTTTCTGTGGGTCCACGTCAAGTCTATGCCAACAAGCCAGTGACGATTGATGAACTTCGTACGTAACTATCGAACGTGAAATTGCAGCAGTGTCGGCCGATTTATGTTTGAAAACCGTCGAAAACTATGTTAAGCGTCTGGACTTCTGTAAACTTGCCCGTGCCGGCTATGCAAAACAAATCGAGTTCCATACATAATGGCATCGAAGGTACTTTCACAGGAATAAAGAACTTCACTGATATCCCAAACTTTTGTAGCGCTCTAATTGGAGATCCCGTTAAGAAATTGCTTAGATTCCGATCGTCTGGTTGAAGTTTTAGACCTTAAGGTATTTCCCAGTAGTTGATTCGTGTAGAGTATAAAACGTTCGGTTGTACCGCAATCTAGCTTTCTTACTTGCCCCTACCGCTTCTCAAACTAAAATCGCCCATAAATTAGTAATTTTTTTTTTCATTCATTTCCAATGACTTTCAATGGCATGGAATTTCTTTCACTGTTTATCATCTCAAAGACTTTTGTTCTGCTCTAATATGGCTAGAAATACGTTTTTTTCAAAGAACTAACTATAATGCCTTAGGTACATATAAACTTAGTAAAGGCAATAACGAAACTCTAATTAGTTTTGTTTTGAGTTCCAACTTACGGTAATAGTTTCGACAGTTCGCGTTTTGCTGCTGAGCGTTTGTGTTGAAACGATTTCGCCGTGTCCGGAGTAGCCAGGTGTGTCCTCACCTAAAATGACGCGGGTTTGTTCAACATGTGGACCGGGTACAGCGGCGTAGCTACCATGTCCCTGAAAACGGTAAATACGACAAAAAAAAAAACTATTAGTAATTTTGTCGCCAGAACTGGCAAAACAAAGTGTGGCTGCTGTGGATGATGTGTGAACAATGAACGACTGGGACTTGGTGCAATATGCGAGTACACTTACAGATACTAGATAAATTATACATGAGGAGACTACATCTATACTTAAGACATACATACATACATATGATAAATAGAAAAGTTGAAAGTGAATGGCACGTATGTGATTTATGTGTGTTCTTGTGTGTATGTGTGTTATTTTTTGATGAGACAAACCTTTTCGTAGGCGGTACGCACCACACTGGACCCGTCGTATGGGCCATCGATGGGTGTGCCCGAGTCGCCAGAGCTAGTCGATGAAATACTGTCTCCACGGTCTCGGAACTACAGTTTGTGTTAATTGCGTTTTTTCGTTTTCGATTTTTTTTTTTTTTGTTTTTTTTTTTTTTTTTTTTTTTTTTTTTTTTTTTTTTTTTTTTTTTTTTTTTTTTTTTTTTTTTTTTTTTTTGTTCAAATTATATATGGCAAACACATTGCAAACACAGTTCGATTTTATTAGTTTCATTTCATACAACAGTACAGTTAAATGCAATCAACGAGTACGGCAATCAATCAACGTAAGAGTAGACGAAATAAATATAATGCAAAGTAAAGAAACGCTTTAAATTAATTATGAAATTATTAATTATGAAAATTAAAAAGAAACAAAACGTGCAATAATAATGTGGGAAACATGCAACGTTGCTGAGCGCGCCACAAAACTTGCGAGTCCTGCGGCACTACTAAGCGCTCTCGTTACTGTCCTCGTTACTCGCTCGTGGCTTGTCGCTTACCTGATCGCCGCTGGTCACTGTGGCTGTGGTCTTTACTTCCTGCGTGACGACGCGCTGTTCCTGCTTGTTGGGATCATGCGTGCGCGTAGTCGCTACGGTCTTCTCTTCGAGTTGTTCGGTTTTGGCCTTCTTACCCAGATCCTCGTGGGTTGTGGCTGTGCGCGTGGTTACGGCGGTGGCTGTTACATAAGCACCGCTCACATCGGCATCAGCCTGGTTAGTTAATTTTTAATTTTTTTTTTTTCGTTTATTTCGTCATAAGTGTACAACAAAGGAAATGAAAGCAAACCAGGTTGTTGAAATGATTGCAAAAACAAAAAATGTCATAAGTAAATGTAAATGGTTAATAATGAAAATTTAGTTTAATAACGCTATTTAGCAAAGCATAATGGTTTAAAGCAGGGTTTCAAAAACAATAAGAAAAAAAATCTGCTATGGCACCTGCTTTATTTTCAGTGTGTGGTTGACGACTCGGCTTCAAACTGTATCGAAGCGGGGTGCTATATAACTGCTCACAGATCCTGATTCTCTGACATTATTTATGTTAGGTTGCTTTTTATTCACCACAGACAAATAATGCATACTCAGTGTTGGACTAAAATATAAACTGAACAAGGAACAAGAGTTAAGAGTTCCTAACAAGATTAACTCGCCTTTAAGATCTGGATCTGCATGATTATAAATCCGTGCATTCTGGTTTCACGATATTATTTATATTATATGAACTTATATTCACCACACACGAAAAATAAAGCCTGGTCCTCTGATATTATCTATATTAGACGGGCTTACATTCACCACCCAAAAATTATTTACACTCAGTGTTGGACTAAAATATAAACTGAACGAGCAGGAAGAGTTTCCTGGAAGGATTAACTCGCTCTTGGGGGCACGGTATACTATTTTGAAATTTCCTTCCACAAATTTTAGAAATTTCTATAGCAAAAAACTTTGAAAATTGTTTACTTTGGGTTAGGGATTTTCTCAAATTTTTCAACACTACCATCAAAATATCAATAATCGGAGAACTAAATACGAAATTCGTATGTTCGAAAATTATTGTTGAATGTCAAGAAAACAGATATTTATGAAGGCAAATGGATTTTTTAAAACATGAGAAACCCGTTTCAGAACATGAACAAAGTTGAAAGAAAATTTTAATATATTATATTAAAAGGAAAAGACTTATGTTCGAACAATTGTTATGGAAAGTACCGGAAAATTGGCGTATTTAATGAAAACTTGTTATACCGTATATCCAAATAATTGCAATCCATAAGATTTACGCTTTTCTGTCGATGGATTTTTAAACATTCTTTTAAATTTCGGAAATTCGTAATTCGGCGTAACCATAAACTTTAATTTCGATTTAATTATATTCGAAAATATGAATATTTACTGTAGATTCGTAATTCCACATGTCCAAATTATTGCAACAACGGAATCCACGACGTTCAGCAATACTCTGTCGACCGATTTTCGAACATTCGCTTAAACTTCGAAACATTGTTAAGTATCATTCCCGAAATTATGCATTTGAACTGGAAATTCGGAATACCAGATAACCAAATGATCGCTAAAACGAAATCTATAATATTTGACGCTTTTCTGTCGAGCGATTCTTCGATTTTCGAGCATTTTATTCAATTTCGAAAATTCGTGATTCGGTATTAAAAAAAATTGTATTTCCATTTAATTATATCCGAAAGTATAAATTTTTCGCCGAAACACGTAATTTCTCGTAACCAAATTATTGCAAAAATGAAACCCACGATGTTCAGCAATACTCTGTCGACCGATTTTCGAACCTTCGCTTAAACTTCGAAACATTGTTAAGTATCATTCCCGAAATTATGCATTCGAACCGGAAATTCGGAATACCAGATAACCAAATGATCGCTAAAACGAAATCTATAATATTTGACGCTTTTCTGTCGAGCGATTCTTCGATTTTCGAGCAATCTATTCAATTTCGAAAATTCGTAATTCGGTATTAAAAAAAATTGTATAAATTTTTCGCCGAAACTTGTAATTTCTCGTAACCAAATTATTGCAAAAATGAAACCCACGATGTTCAGCAATACTCTGTCGACCGATTTTCGAACCTTCGCTTAAATTTCGAACAATTCTTATATCTAATACCCGGAAGTATGCATTTTAACCAGAAATTCGGAATACCGGGTAACCTAATGATAGTAAAAACGCAATACATAATATTTGGAACTTTTCTGTCGTCGTTTTTTCGAACATTCTATTAAGATTCGGAAATTCGTAATTCAGTGTAACCAAAAAAATTTAATTAGGAACAACTGCTATGTATTCTATCCGAAAATTATCCATAATATTTGGAACCTTTCTTTCGTCGTGTTTTCGAACATTCTATTAAGTTTCGAAAATTCGTAATTCGCCATAACCAAAAAATTTCATTCCGAACAACAGTTATGTATGTGTTCTATTCGAAAATATTCGTAACGGAAATTCGTAATTCTGGCTAACCGAATTATTGTAAGAGTGTAATCTGCAATATTCGCGTCTTTACTGTCAATCAATATTCAAATATGCGAACAGTTCAGAAGCTCTGTCAAAGTGTATGCTGTAAGTAAAGTTGATGAAATTATTAATTTTTCACAAATGTATTAAATCATAACGAGTTACTTTTATTACAGTATGCAAATGAGGTAGCGGTATGAAAGACCTACTTGATCTTAACCCTTTGCTTCGAATATTTCTTGAACTAAGAGTGCAAAATGAGTATATAGGATAAACTTTTTAGTAACTTGATTTGTTCCCAGCGAAATGTTGATACAAATGCATAGCTCTGTATGAGAATCTTTCAAACTCTAAATGGGGGTTTCTTATATGTAATTAAATGATTTCATCGGCATTAAACAACAAACTCATAAACATTAAATTCATGCATCATTCGTACAAACTTAAATACTTTACTACAAATATTCGACTACAAATTACTTACTCCATATAAACTTCGGAATAGCATTCACGAAAGCTGTACCAAAGTGGGCGAACCAATTTGGGGGCATACCGTTAAAAATTATGTGTATAAATCAAAAGTTCTAGGTAATTGATTGCCTATAAATACTAACCAATAAATTCAGATACTCATCACTTACGAAAATGAGTTCAAAATATCATAATTTCGAACTTCACAAAAGAGTGAAACTTTTTACCGAATACGGTGCTACTAAAAACACATTCGACTCCAACACAAATTCAAAGCAAAACTCTAAAAACTTCAATTGGTTTGAAACTACCAGACGTGCGCTAAACTAGCTATAGTAAGAACCTTACTCAAAGTATGACTTGCTAACCTTGTGTTCCTGCGTTGAGTAGGTGACCTCGCCGGTACCCAAATTGCGCACCTCCTCCTCCACATTGTGCGTCACGCCGTCATCGTTCTTGGTGAGTACTTGCTTGGTGGTCGTTTTCACCACAGTCGGTGTACCGAATTTGCCCGTTTGTTTGGTTGTGGTCGTAGTTACTGTTGTACCATCCGCATTTTTGGGACTGTTCAGCACCATATCCTTGATATGCTCACTGCCATACTGCTGTGTCATATCATCGTCCGAACTGGCTTCGGAGTCGCGTCGCAGCGCATTCTTACCCATATGTTTGACGCCCTCAAAGAACTGCTCACGCGTAATTGGTACAGTCTCGGTGGTAGTGCTGACCTGGGCTTCCTTGCCGAAATGTGATGGATCGATTTGTGCATAATTAAGAATTAGTTTGCCTGTGACGGGATCACGTATTGCTGTGGCTGGATCGATATCGCCTGTATTTGGATCGATGTCACCGTATTCGCTCTTTATACGTCCGGTTACTGGATCAATTTCGCCTGTTAATGTCATAGTCTGTGTGACGGTAGTGCGTGCGCCCGCAAAGCGTGGATCATTTGGATCAACCTGTACAATTTCACCTGTTACTGGATCAATCATAGTATAAACATAAACAGTTTTATTGAAGAACTTGAGAATTCGACCAGAGACCGGATCGATTTCACATGTCGCTGGATCGATTTCTTCAGGGCGACCACGCTCATCCGTCTTGGAGATGAGCAGTACGCGTACAATGACAATTTTGCCAGTTTTGGGATCAACACGTCCGACTTTGGTATACACATCGCCGGATTCCGGATCAACTTGGGTGGTGGCATAGAGTGGTTCGCCAGTAGTTTTGTCAACATCGCCGGTGGCTGTATAAATCTTGCCTGAGGATGGTTCGATTTTGGTGGTGTTGGGATCGAGTTTATTTTGTTTCTTGATTTCGTTTGTTTTCGGATCGAGATAACCGTAAATAGTGATAACATAGCCGGTCTTCGGATCCACGCTGCTGGAAATGTATTGTGACTCTTTTGTGTTCGGATCGCTAGCACCGGTCGGCATCCAAATTTGATTCGATTTAGGATCGACAATAATTTCTTTGTCCTTCGCCGAGCTGACTTGCGCAATGGGCGCTTTCGTTTTGGGATCAACACGTTGCTGTACAATACGCAACGATATAATGCGTGCATAATCTTTATCGGGTTTGTTATTCTTCGGATTGATTTGGTTCTTAAGCACAATTTGTCCAGTTGCTGGATCAATTTTGATATCACGTGTAACGGTTTTGCCCGATTTGGGATCAGTGAATGTAATTGTATGCTTCACCAAATCAATTTGTCCATATTTCGTATCGATTTTGCCCGCCTTTGGATCGAATTGGCCACCTGATGTTTCAACTTGTGCGGTTTTTGGATCGATGATATTCTTTTTGGAATCATATTTGCCAGCCAGCGAGGTAACTTCCACAATTGGATCAATTTGCTGTCCGACTTCAATAATGCGTCCTTGTGTGTTATCCAGTTTACCTGTTTTCGGATCTGTGACGCCCAATAACGTTATCTGCCCAGTTGATGGGTCGACTTTCACATTTTTAGTTACAACAATTTTGCCGGTCTTAGGATCAATCGCTTTTAGCTCACCCGTTCTGGTATTTATTTCGCCATATTTAGTATCAAGTAGACCCGAATCCACATTGAGTACGCCCAGCGAACGTTCCACTTCACCGTTAACTGTATCAACCTTACCCGTGACGGGATCAATACGGCTTGTGATAACAATCAGTTCCACAACCGGATTATCTTGTGGTGTTACGCAAATGATTTGTCCCAAACTCTCGTCTAAGCGACCAGTATTAGGATCAGCAACACCGGACACCAAGTGTACATTGCCAGTTTTGGGATCAACATCACCCTGATAAATTTCATTTTTGCCCGTCTTCGTATTCAAAGCCAATAAAGTGCCATTTTTCGGATCAAGCTGACCATATTTACTATCAATCAAGCCAGTCTCAGGATCAAGAATGCCCGTGGAGTGTTCAATAACGCCATTTTCAGCATCAATGCGTTTGGTGTTGGGATCAAATTTGGATGTGATTACCATAATCTTGACGCGCTTCTTCTTCGGTTTTGCTGCAGCACCACCAGCCGCAGCGACGGCAGCCAAACCACTGCCTACTTTTGTAGGCGTAACCGGTGTGCTACCTCTGCCTTTACCAGTAGGTGAGCCGCCAGCTGCGCCGGCAACTGCAGCACCCTTACCATCAGTAGCAGCTTTACCAGCCGCAGCACCGGCACCAGCCGATGGATCTCTGTTATAACGTTCCGATTCAAGGAATGCCGCTGTGGGATCCACTAATGGCTTATAACTACCCGGAGCACCTGATGTATAACCGGCCGACTGACCTTTGGAAGGTGAATAAGAACGTTTCTGTGCATCAGTTAGCGGTGCGGCAGCCGCATCGACGGCACTACCTTGCAATTTAGCACGTGTGGTCGGCGACAGATTGCCTTCTTTAAGTAGTTTTGCGCGCGTTGTGGGCGACAACTGACCCTTATTAATCTTTTCACGTGTGCGTGGCGACAATTGACCGCTCTTCAATTTCTCTGCGGTCTTCTTCAACGTATCATCATGACCAGGCGCATAATTGAAGGCAATTGCGGTCTTCTTTTGTGCAGCCGTGGGCGACAATTGTCCATCACCATCTTGACCGGCTTGCCTACCGCTTTGCGGATCCTGATCGTAACGGAAACCACCGGGAATGTATGATTTGCGTGTAGGGCTAGTTTCACCAGTACCATCTGAGTACTCATAGGGTCTAGTGTGGCCGGGTTGACGTGAGGCACGGTTGTTATCATCATTGGCTTGATTCTTGGCTGCAGCCAGTTCCAAGTCAGCGTATACCAACTCACCACTCTTGCCATCCTTCGCCTTGCCGGACTTATCTTTATCCTTCGGCTCCTTTGTCGGCGAGCTGCTCTTGCTCTTGCGACCGGACGAGAAGAGACCACCACCCTGTTGTGTGTCGATTTACACCAATCACGATTTTTTTTTACGCAAAAAATATCAAATTCAGTTGAACACATGCGTTGATTCATGAATATTTCCAATTGCATAAAAGTTTAAAAAAGAAAGAAAACAAAAAATAAAAGGGGAATAAATAAAAATGTAACACTAATCAAATAAATCTTTAAGTAAAACTTAAGGGTACACTACAGCAAGACATACAATTTACATACATAAGGGATACACTAAATTCTACATACTAATTCTTAACTTAAAAGTTTTATTTAATTTAAAGGTACAAAATATGGACGGGGAGGGGGCAATGCGTTACAAATAAAAATCCAAAGAATTGGAAACACAGCTTGGAGACATCTATGCAGTCATATGCAGGCTGTGCGCTGTACACAGTAACAACACATCGGATGTGGACATGACTTCGGCAGAAACGCACTTCGTACGCGTTAGGTATACTTGGGTAGATGGGGCATTTGTCATTATCAACTTTGGATAATATTAAACACTATTCAATATAGACTTGAGGTATATAACGGGTGATCCATTAGAGGTACTTTTTTCGAAAGCCCTTTTTGACAGATCACGCATGAGTCGTGTCCAGCTGTCATGTTATTTTCGTTCAGTATTTTTTGGCATTTCATCATGGAAAGACTTATGCGTGAAAAACGTTTACAAATCGCTAAACTTCATTATGAAAATTTACGTTCTCAAAAGGCCTACTGTGCATACTATTCGGAACGCCAACACTCATCTTGMGATCCACCATTCATTATTGGATAATATTCGACCGAATAGACCACGTCCAGCAAACAGTGAAGAAAATGTAACACCCGTAGCTGAGGGTGTACACGAAGAGTGTGGAGAGTCGGAGTTCTTCGGCGTTCACAGCAACTCGGACTGACGTATGGAATGACTTGATGCATTTTATGACGAGATCTGACATTTAAAACGTACAAAATAGAGCTTGTGCAAGAACTGAAGCCGGTCTACCTTGCCAAGCGACATCGTTCGCTTTACGGGCTCTTGAAAAGCTTTTAGAAGAGGCTCCTTTTTGAAGCCAAATTTTGTTCAGCACTGAGATCCTTTTCTGATTCAATGGGTATTTAAATAAGCACAATTTGCCGTATTTGCAACGAAAAGAAAGCTAATGAAGATTCAAGAAAAATCATTTCATTCAGAAAAACTACGGCTTGGTATGGTTTGTGGGCCGATGGAATCATCAGTCCTTATTACTTGAAAAATGATGCCGGTGAGAACGTAACCGTCAATGGCGACGCCATGATAACCGACTATTCAATGCCTGAAGTTGAAGCTCGTGATCTCGGCGCCATTGGGTTTCAACAAGACGATGCAACTTCCCACACATCAATCAATGGATTTATTGAGAGAGCACTTCGGTGAGCAGATAATTTCAAGTCTTGATCCGGTCGACTGGCCACCAATATCGTGTGATATCATACTATTCGACTTTTTATTGTAGAGATATGTAAAGTCGAAAGTCTATGCGGACAATCCCGTTTTGATTCAGGTCTTGGAAGAAAGCATCACGCTTATCACTCACCAGTTACCAGTCGAAATGCTGGAACGAGTCATCGAAACTTGGACTTAACAGTTGGACCAACTAAGACGCAGGAGTGTACAACATTTGAAAACCATAATCTTCAAAAACTAAATGCCAGAGGATGATCCTTCTAACGATAATAAACATTCCTCATTAAATTTGAAGTTTTTGTTTTTTCTTTAAAATACTAAGGAACCTCGAAATGGATCACCCTTTATAATATAATGGCGACACCTAGTTTGCTGGTTGCATACTTACACGTCCTTTGCCTGATTTCTCTGACTTGTTGGAATCATTCAAATCATCATTGCCTGCAATCCAAGCAAAAGAAAATTATAACTCTATAAATATATTTATGTAATTTGTTGTGCACACCGTTAATGCCCGCAGCGGCGGCGCCAGCAGCAGCCTTAGCGGCTTTTTCCTTGGCGGCTTTCTCCTTGGCAGCCTTCTCTAGCGCCTCCTTCTCCTTCTTTTCACGTTCCTTGCGTTCTTTTTCTTCCTTCTCTTGTTGTTTCTTCTTCAATTTGGCCTCCTTTTCGGCGTCGGACTTTTGGTGCAAGAAAAATTAAGGAAATTTATTAGTTTTAGTACTTTTGTTTTGTGCAACGACAAATAATGAAATTGAAGCATGTCAAAATTTAGACAAAGCTGAGCTTAAGTTATTACTGACAAAGCGTTTGCATGCTTATAGCTATTTAATATAAGTTTTATATGCACACACATACAGTTTTAAGTTATAAGTATATATATATGTGTGGTAAATGGGCGTGTTTTGGTGTATGCATAAAAATAAAGGCTTAAAGCAGCGGCGGCTGACGAAAGCAGTAGCTTATGGTTGGCTTAAAAGCGTAAAAATAATTTTCTTAATTTTTTCTGCTAAGCGCTCTACTTTGAACTGCTGTCTTTTTAAACCGTTATTTGTGTTTTGTGTACGCATACTTTTGTTTAAAGGTGTATGCGTGTAATGATAAGTTTTTATGTATTAATGAAGAACACAACACATTCAATTATATTCATGTGTATGCGTTTGTATGAACCAAAGTGTCTACAGTGCAACATAAAATTCGCGGCACAAGAACTTTAGAGTTAATTAGTCGCGCTTTTTATAACAGCGTTTTATGCCAAAAATTAAAACTTTTAAATTAAATATAAAAGTATTAAAATTTTGTAAATTTTTGAAATTTAAGAACACATAGTTTTTAAGATATTTGTCCATTAGGGTTCTTCAAATTTTTTTATTTTTTATACCCTGTAGTGGGCGCGCTTTTTATAACAGCTTTTTCTGCAAAAAATTAAATTTTGAAATTTAATAACGCATAAATTTTAAAATATTTGTACTTTAGGGCGGTTCAAAAATTTAATATTTACTAACAACTACATTTCGCGCTTTTTATAACAGCTTTTTCTGCAAAAAATTAATTTTAGAAATTTAATAACACTTAACTTTCAAAATTTTTGAACGTTAGGGTGCTTCAAATTGTTTTTTCTTTCATTTAATTATATTTGTATACAATTATAAATGTGTAATATCCAGTAGAAAATGCCGGAGACACTTTCTAGTATATATATATATATGATCATGTTCACGCACCTACTCGATTTGATCATATCCATCTGTCAGTCTGTATATATTCGAAAAAGTGACTAGATTAACTTTTTGAGATATCGATCTGAAATTTTCCACACATTCACTTCTCATCACTTATATCAAATAAAAACTTTTTAGAAATTAAGATTTGAAAAAAAAATTTAAAAATATTTTGGAGCACCCTAACGCATTTTTCGAACAATGGAACTTTAATTAGATTTGCAAATAACAATAACTGCTATCGCACCCGAGTTAATTGGATCACTGTTTATTTGCCTTTAAGCGCCGTTTGAAACACGTAAAGTTGCAACACCCTGTATTACCAATAATAATTATAATTTCTTTACATAAAAAACAGCAAATAATTAAAACATAATAGATTATGATAACAGTTATGCATGTGTATAACTAGGTGTATAAGAATATACATATGTATATGGTAATTATGTTAATGTGTTAATATTAGGGTGAGCAAAAATAATTAATAACGAATTTATGGTTTAAAATAAAGTCATATGCAGGAAAATATTTTTCTTTTTTTATTTTCAAATTTTTTTTCACTTTTCAACTAGTTTTTCACTTTTCAAATCATTTAAATACAGAAATTTTCGAATAAAAATATTCTGATATAAAATTTTTTTTTTCAATTTTCAATTTTTTTTTCACTTTTCAAATCATGTGTGTATTTAGATTTTCGAAAAAAAAATCTAGATATAGATGTTTACAAAAATTAGCGCTCTATAATAACCCAAGTTGTAAGAAAATTTATTTTAAATGTTCCAAAAGTTATGTTATTTTTAAAGAAAACAAATTTTTAACACCTTTTACATGTTTTTACAATCGAGTTTAAATTTCTGCCTTTCAGATTTATTTTTTCTGATTACATTTTCATTTATGCTATAAATACGATTTTAATTTATTTTGGCTCACCCTTATATTTATATATTATATATGTGCATGTAGTGATTTTATATGTATATGTAATTGATCGATAACAGATATAGCTTATGGGCATGGGCTTACTGAAACATTTAAGTGTCTACTATTTACATATGTACCTGGCTATATAACGTCACCTAAAATGCAAAACAGCGTATCATCACAAAAAAAATCAAAAATCAGTGTCAGCTATAATAACCAATTTATAAACTAAACTGAAATTTTTTTCAAATTTGAGTGGTTTCTATTCTCTTGGTTTTCCTTCGGCTTTAAACTTATTTTGCATTTTAAGTGTCGGTATCTGGATATTTGTGAGTATGTATGTATATGATTTGTATCTTGATATAACGAAAGAAATTCCGCACAATTGGTTCTATGGTATAATTTTCCTATATTTATACATATGTACGAGCATTAAGTATATGTGAACAACTTTAGTGTTGTAATTATGTATTACAACAAAAATATGGGAACAAAAATCAACATTTATATGAATTTCAGGTTTCAAACGATATGCTTAAAGAATTAGCAACATATAGACAGATCTTCGAACAAAATGACATAAATGACAAATTTAACACTTTTGTAGAAATATATAGATATCTCATAAACAAACATATATATATTATACACAGGTATTTTCAAACATAGCACAATCAAGCTTTCCCTTAAATAACCTTTCTTTCACTCTTCAGGATTGATTACTATTAAAACTTGGCGTCAAAAAAGGGCAAAAAGGAGTCAAAACACAAGCGGTTTCAATTGAGCAAACAATAGGCATATTGTAAGGCCCAACTGAACATCGTTAAAAAAGTCGCAGGAAAGATTTCATTCAAGAAGCACATTACTCACAGCTTAACGTCAAGATTAAGTAGAGACTTGTGAAGATATTTCGTCTCATTCGGCGATGTGCTAATCTATAAAAATACGACTACACAGATCCCTATTTTCTGAAATTATTAAATTTTCTGTTTGTCGCACCACCCCAAATAAATTGTGTAGTTGCCTTATATTGGAGCTCAGAAACCTGCGTTGTTCCGCCGGCAACCTTCTCCTATTTTGAAAGTTTTTATAGAACTGTAACGATTGGTTCAAACAATTTTTTTAAATCGACTCAGTCCTATTACTTTCCGGACAAACCCTGTAAGTTCACACTTTTATACATTTTCCACGACGTTTTTTTTTGAACCAGGTTTACGTAAATGACTTTTGATTTTTTCTGAAGGAAAAAGTTGAATTTCTTTAAAATTTGTTTGAAAACTTGTCGCTTACAAAAACTTGTTGCTTTAAAAATTGATTTCGAATTATAATAAAAGGGTTAAGCATTAGCAAAAGCACATTGAGCATAAACATATTTATATTAACTGCGTTAAATGAGGTCAAAAAGAGAGTCAAATAAAATTAGACAAGGCAATGGTTATGAAATCAGCTTAGAAAAAAAATTTTGTGAAATTTTTGTTTGCTGAAAAAAAGTTTTTTTTTTCGGTTTATATAAAAGCTGGTTGTGTGTAAATTATTATTGGAATGAGTAGCCTACAATGAATCAAAAAACATTTGTACAGAAGAGATGTTTTAAATATAAAGTGGCTTACCACAGAGCTCTAAAATAGTTTAGTGTTTTACTTGCAAGAAAGAGTCACAAGAGAGGGATCTTATGTTATGGAGCTTCAAAACCCCTTCAAGCTTTCAGAATACTGCAGTAGCTTCAGGGCGGAAATATTTGCGTTCAGGAAAGTGGTTTGGATAACTAACAACGCCGGAAATATCATAAAAATATCATATCAATATGTACTCCGAAAGCTCAGCAGCAAGTAAAGCAAAAATCGCGCAACGCATTGTCATTATCATCGCAAAGCGGCTTCATATAAACTGTATTCCAGATCATAACTCAAATTGAAAAACTGGGATAGGAAATAACCGATGACAATGCTAAAGAGCCACGCGTCTGACTACCGAACCAGTATAGCACATACAGAAGTCGCTAAACACGATATACAATGAAATTACCGAAAGGGCTGACAGACAGATCAGGGCGAGATGAAATGTCTTACGAAGCAAAACACGCATGTTTTTTAAAGTAAGCATGTAGAGTGCCCATGGTATAATACACTGGATGAGGTATTGATAGTGAGGCAACAGAGTTTGTAAAAATTCGCGTCAAGTGCAGACATCCTAAAGGATGACTACGGCTCTGGGACTTAGCAACTGAATTCCAACTGGTTTATGCGTGGCCTACGAGCTTAACCTAACCTTTTTACTCAAAAGGTCTTGAAAAGACTGAAAAATTTTTGTTGGCCCAACAGTCGCAACCTAACCTATTAGGTATTATGGTAGTACTTCATTTTCTAATAAGAAATTATTATATGTGTGGTTGTAGTTCTTGAAGGGAAAGTGGTGAAACAAACAAGCATCGCAAGAATTACAAACTTTGGTAGCCAAATCTTTGCTAAAAAACAAAATTACTCGTGAAATAAACATAATTGCCACATATTACGGTTAGTACATTATCGCTGAATTCAAGAAAACACGATGCTAGCGGAAGGGCTAACAAATTTTCATACCCAGGCTGAAAGAAAACTAGCTCGCCGTATCAAAGAAGACGCCAAAACATCGGCGATCGATTGCGCTAAGGAATTGAAGGAAGCTGGCACTGCAAAAGACCATTCTTCTGGCCGTTCTCATGTAACTAGAACGGACACGGATTTTTATTAGTCAAGGACAGTCTCGGTAGATTTTTACCGCTGTAACAACCATCCTTCTTGACACTGACCCGAACTTCTTGCATTTACTCGATTATAGAGTGCATACATCACGAAATGAGCCGCACATATCGAAGAGAAATATTACGAAGCATTTACTATATGCCAAAGACTGGTGATACACTCCCGGTAGATCGTGCTTTGTTTCGGATAACATCCTTAAACATTCGGCTTTAATGGCTAAGGCATGGATCGGGTTAACGGCTATATCCGGCTCCAGATTTTCTACATCTGTGAAGTAGACTTCAATATATGTATGTAGGTACAGAACTTTCCCCTTCCAGAACAAAAAATCTCGACAGTTTAACAATTTACCCCAACCGTCAGTTGGAACAGCAAACAAGACAAGATTTTTTTTTGTTTGGAGTAAGAACAACAACAAACAGGTACTTTTGTAGGACAAAAGTAATCGTAAAAGAGTAAGGACAAGAGACACTTAAAGCTCAGAGTTTAAAAAAAAATACACCATATTAAAATAAACTAGATAAATAATGGTGGAAATGAAAGCGTAAATAATTACGTAAGATTTCGTACGAGGTAAATATTATATGATTTGCATATACGAGTAATAATTATATAATAAAATTAAAGGAGAATAGAAATTGACTGTTGAAAATGAAAGAAATTAACCTGATCTTTGCCAAGATAGGCGACGGCCGAGGCGGACTCGCCGGCTGCCACATCAGCACCGGTATGGGTCGAATAATCACCTTCGAGTGAACTCTGCGAAGAGGCGGAAGCTGTACCAGTACTCGATTCACGTTTTAACTATACGATTTGGGGTTATTTGGAACAAAAAATTGTGTTTTTTTTTTTTTTTTTTGTATTTAAGTGTGTTTTTTGTGTTTGTGCGCATTTTCAAATATTTTTTAGGTTAGTTGCGGTTAAAATGAATATGAAATGTATGATTAATTAAAAGAGAACATTTTTGTTTGCGGTTTTTGTTACACACATTAAGGTGATTGGTTGTTGTTGTAGTTTTTTGGAACATAGTTATAGGATAAGGAGTGTGAGTGGGTTGTGCGCATTTTTTTTTTAGATTTTTTTCACAGCATTTTAATACGTTATTACACAATATTTGCGTAGTTGTTGTTGTTGATGGTTTTTGTTGTTGTTAGTGAGTTGGTTAGTTTTGTGTGTACGTATTAATTACAGAATGGAAACAAACCGAGAAAAAGGAAGGAAAATAAATTTTGTCAGTAAATTTTGAAAAGAAAAATCTTGAAAACAAAAAAATATACAAATATACACATATTTTTTTGTTGTTAGAAAACAAAATTTCAAACGAAACTGTTCTCCTAATGAGAATACTATTTTGTGAGCAAAGAGCGCAGAAATATACCTTCTCCTTCTTATCCTTTTTCAATGGACTGCGACTGCGTGGCGACTCAAAGTCGGGTATATGCTCTGGTGGATGTCCCATGGTGTGACGTTTCTGAGCATCCTTCTCCTTTTCGGCCATAGCGAGCGCTTTTACAAAGACATGGTTATAGTATAAATCATTATTTCCTCACTTAATAATACAATAAAACTCGCTTAAGTAACGAACCCGCTTAAATAACCAACATTTTTGGGCTTACTACATGCATAGAAGGACCTCAGCGAAGAAGGACTTCAGCGAATAAGAACTTAGCTCAGAAAACAGATATTTTTCGTGAGACATTTAAGCGGGTTTTACTGCAAGCTTCGTCGTCTGCTTACCATCCATGCTGCGCGAGGTTAGACGTCGGCCCGACAAACTACGATCGAACTTCGGTGCTGTGCGATCGATTGGATTCCGCTTGCTTTCGTACAAAGTACGTCCGGAATAACGGTACTTGGAGCCAAAACGTGGGAACAGTGATGACTTGGTCGGCGGCTCTGGTGTCATGAGCCGGAAGAATGTGTGATGTTCGACACACGACTTCCACAATTTCTTCGCCGCCTGATGACTGGCCAATTTAAAGCCAATGGTCGATTCGAATTGCTCAAAATCGCCGGGACGTATTTTGATGTAGAAGTGATGGCGTTTATACGAAATCTTTAGAATCTTCGGCCAAGCGAAGCGATTGATGCGTAGTCTACAAATATAAAGTTTGCATTAATCGATAATCAAACGAACTGTAAGATATGGTACGCACTTGTCGCGATAAACTAGCAATCCAGATGCACAGACACCCAACATAATGTCAACGCCCTCCGAGTCCTTTGCTGGATGCAAATCAACACCGTACATGGCTAGCTTCTTGGCGTTTTCCAAGTAATGTAATTCTGCCTCAGCCGGTGCTTGACCCCTGAAGATTTGGTAAATGCAATTTTTTTAAGAATTCTTCTATATTTTTGGAGTATTTTTATAGGCGTGTACTTACTTATGTGTCTTGTGCAAATCCATGACCTTATCTTCCAATTCCGGAGTTTGATTGGGTGCTATTTTAAAGTCCTTCAAATAGCGGCGATCTGGCATTTCCTTCGGATCATAGTCGCCCATCTCCGATTGCACCAGGTACGAGCCGAGCAGCGCATGTGTAACGAAAGTACACGGCAAGCGACCTTCGAGTATGTCATTGCGCACTTGCAGGCACAGCTGATAGCGTGTAATATCCTCTTGAAGCTGTGATGGTTCCGGTGGGTAAAATTTAACAGCGAATTGCAGCACCCACGGATCGGTAGGGAAAACCTTTGATACGGGCTTATCCAAATCTAACCAAGCGCGTGGATCTGATGGTGTCTCGTAAGTAAGACCGAAATAGTCCTTCTCCACAATATTGAGACCCGCACAAATTGTATTTATTAGGTCGCGACCTTTCGCTTTGCGCTAAATGGTGGAGCAGAAATATGGTAAAGTTATCTTAGTATATATAATATACGTATGAATGAGCTTCGAGCTGTACTCACATCGATCGTGACATCAAGCAGAGAGCCGTCGAGTAGCGTGACACGCGCCAGTCCAGCCTTGCCGGTGATATTCGCTTTTTTGCTTTTGGTAGGCGTGTCAGCCTCGGTTCCAGCGGTGGCAGTTTTCGTTTCCGCTGGCATGTTTACTATATTCCGTTTTAATGTGTTTCAACTATTTTGTTGGTATGTTGAACGGATCTGAAATGATGACAAAAATATAATGAATGTCCTTAAAAATCATTTAAAGTGGAGATGAGTTCTGATATTACAAGCAATGTTTATTTTTATGTGGCTTGAGATTAAATTAACTTTGATTAACATTAATTTGAGGGCTCCAGAGTCGCGTTGACAAGTCGCTTATACTTGTAGCATATTCGGTAGCATGGTCTCAAGAGCGCGTTGCAAATATATGTAAATTGAAAATGAGTTGTATACCTACGCAGATAGGCATTAACCAAGCAGATTCGTCTTCAAAAATCTAAGAGAAGATTTAATGTCTCTTTATACGCTAAAAATTGCCTCAGTGTTGAAATAAAGATCTGAAATTTTTAACATGTTCTTTTCTCCCCAAAAAGCTGCTGACTGCTGATATCGGACCATCGTGGGATATACCTATCATACAAACGATCACAACTAAGTCCGTTTAATTTCCATTCCCGGCAGCTTGGTGGGATGTCTGATGGTATGTGCCCCCAAGTGCTTAACTTCCCAAAAGATTGCGTCTGGTGGGATTCTCAGCCCTACTGTGGCAATGGCCCGTTAAAAGCCCCAAAACTAGTGAGAAGCTAGCCTTACTGAGAACCTCGGTCTGGAAGACACTACGATAGTCAAAAAGTCTGAAACCGGAGTTGAAAGAGAACTCCTAACAGTAGAACCCCTCCACCAGCCTTCCCCCGAAGCTTTCACCTATCCGTCAGGAAACTCACTTTCCCTCTCCTCCAACAGCTTCTTCCCACCCACAACTACCTCACTGTTATATGGGTAGGAAAGGAGGCGCCAGAGTTGAGTTTAGCGACTTCGTGATCCATGCGATCCAGGATGAAGTCAAGGCGAGTGAGGATTTCCGAGTGTTGACTCCCATGTTCTTTTAGAAATCCCGACTCTCTGAATCTGATGGCAACTTTCACAGCCACACTCCTTCCGGCGATGACCATGGGCAATATATAGAGGACACAACACATGCTGATGAACGCCGCCCGTTGGACGCTCTCGAGTTTCTTTGGAAGTGTGGTATTTTCAAAAGCCCTCCATCACATAAAGACTCCCTAGAATATAATGGGCTTGACTATGGCGTCGTAAAGCCAGAAGAGCACTATCGATAACATTTTTACTTTCTCTTCGATATTCGACTTCCATGAAAGCTTCCTATCGAAGATGAGCCCTAGATATTTCACTGTATCCGCTGGTTACAGAAGGATATCTCCCAGCGAGGCCGTCGGGATCTTACGTCTTCTTCTTCTTGTAAATAAAACCTACTCGGTTTTATTTGGGTTGATGCCGAGACCGTTAACGACTGCCCAAGTTATTCTGCGTCAATTCGTAAACGATACTCAAGAACTTTCATTTAACCATAAACGCTACATGGTCTGCATAGGTTATCACCCTTCAGACACGATTTTCAAGTTTTTTAAGCAGGGCATTAACGACCAGGATCCATAAAAGCGGAGAGAGAACTCCACCCTAAGGGGCTCCCCTACCCACATTTCGTCCAGCATGTTAGTTTCCCTATTACATTTCAATCACTCGGTCGCACAGAAAACTGGAAATGAGGTGTTCGAGGTTTGATTCAACCCCAAGACCATCCAGAGCAGATATAACTGCTTCCGGTAAGACGTTATTGAAAGCTCGATCTATACCAAGAAAAGTTAAAACAGCGAATTGCTTAGGAATGATTGCTTCCTCAAGCCATGACACGATAGTATGCAGGGCAGTATCTACTGGCTTGCCTTTACCATAAGCATGTTGCGCTTCTGATAAATTGTATGAGAATGAATGAGCTCTCTATGTACCAGATCATCAGTCTCTCCAGAGTTTTTAACAAGAAAAAGAAGAGGCAGATGTGTCTGGAATCCTTGGCCGTACGTGGGAGCCCCTCCCAGACAACGGAATGAACGTGCCTCTAAGGATGTAAACCAGTCTCATGCAGTTCGCATAGACACTTTAATAGCCTGTAGCAGCTGTGCTGCTAAGATGCCATCCAGTCCCGGAGACTTAAATGGTTTAAACGAATTGATCGCCTAGGTTAAGTGCCGTGCATCTGGAAGGTCGAAAAGGGTCGCGCAGCTTTCCGAGAGATGTTGCTCGGGAAGTTAGCGTCAAGGAGCATCCGAAGTGTATCCTCACTGCTCAGAGCCCACCTACCATTTGCATCCTTAAGATAACCCGGAGAGGGTACTTTGTGATAATACGCTTGAATCTAGACGAGTCCTCTATGGTATATTTATGACTAAGTGTACAACCTTTAATCCAAGCTTGCCCTAAAATAATGGAGTTTTTTTTTTTTATATAATGAGAGTAAAGTCCAAAAAAAGTCTATAAATGTACACAACAGTTCCACACATAGCACACACAGTTCCTGATTTTCGACACAGCCACAGCGGCACCCCGTAAACGTACTTATCGCGCATCACTCGTCTAATTTAATACAAGCACCATGCACAGTTATACTCGTACGCCATGCCTGAGAATGTAACTACAACTCGACAGTCAAGTGACATTTAGTATATGCGTACATGTGTGAAGATAGTAAGGATGACGAGCGTCTGATAATGCAATAACTGTCAACTTTGACAATGCAAGTAAGTGAGAATTACGACTTTATGACTCATTTTTGGGCAGACCTAGGGGAGGGTTGTGTTGGTGGCGCTATTTTAATTGAAGACGCAACTGTACAGCATCTGCGGCCACATTGGCAATATTGACAAAAGAGACAATTACTCAAAACTTGCAAACGTCTGAAGCTTGGCGGCAAGCAGTGGTTGCTTACGCTTTATCTAATAATAATACACGATTGACAGCTATTTACGAGTATAATATATGGAGAGGCATAAACAGATAGAAATGGCAACAAGTTGCCTATATTCGACAAATGGCTTCGACAGTTGGTGGTTGGCGGCTGAGCGAGGGCAAAAGTAAGACGCTTCTGAGCAAAGCAGAATTTTCTTCTACTTTATACTTCTATACTACATTATTGCTGTCAGCTAATAGTATTCACATGTATGTTGTATGTACATATACCATATATATGTACTTAGCACATATGGTACTCATATAGAAGAACATTATTATGTATATTATGTAGGTATGCGTAATTGTGAAAATTTTCTAAAGAGTCGCTTTAATTGAATAAAGTGCTCTCATAAAAGCTGTTAGAGTTTAAAGGTGGAGCGGAAGACAACGCGTTGCGCCACAGCAGCAGTTAAAGAGGTAATATAATAACCAGAAGTTATGATACTTCTTATATATTTTACACTTACACATTTCTGCAACAGATCCCCAAACAGCATGGATGTTTTCAACTGGCTTAATTGTTCTGAAAACTAAAGCAACTAACTCGAAAAGTTCTGGTACTTGAGGTGTTTTTTTCAAAGCACAAATCACACTTTCTCAAAAACAAGACCCCTGCCACATTAAAAGAGATTCCAAGCTTTGACGAAAATGGTGCTGTACCTAAACTCGATGAAAAGAAGATGACAGCAGTCTGAAATTATTTTCGAATCGTGACCAAAATTATTTGGTGAGAGACATCTTCTTCTTTAAAAAAATTAAGAGGCTTAGACGCCGCTTCTCCACCTCGTCTGTCCAACGGAGTGGATGTCTTCTTCTTCCTCTGCTTACCTCCGAAGGTACTGTGTCGAATACTCTGAGAGCTGAAGTTTTTCCATTCATTCGGACAACACGACCTAGTCAACATAGTCGCTGTCTCTTAATTCGTTGAACTAAAACTCGAAAACCCGTAACTAACCGGACTTACTAGATGTTGCCAACGTCCATTCCACTGCAACATATAGCAGGACGGGGATGATCATTGACTTGTAGAGTTTTTTCTGTGTTCGTCGAGAGAGGACTATACTTCTCAACTGCCCACTCAGCCTGAAGGAGCACCTGTTAGCAAGAGTTATCCACGTTGGATTTCTAGGTATTATGCTGGTTCAAAGATAGACAATCTACGACTTAGAAGTTAAAGACTGTCAACAGAGAGAGATATTTCGTCTTGCCTTCGTTCACTAACAGGTGCTGTACATGACCCCGATGAAAAGTCCACCTTTGAATTCGAAGATGACAACAGTCCGAAATTGCTATCGAAGGGTTAGCAAAATGACTTGGTAAGAAAATTGAATTTTCGCAAAAACGCAGCTGAGATGGCTGGATCAAGTGTCTTGTCTCTATTAAGGAGGAGTGTTTTTCCGATTATATAATATATCAAAAAGAAAGATTAAAGCAATTCTGCTTCAGAATGGCGGTTTCTATGCTTACATTCCTGTAAACCCCGAGAAAACCCACAAGAACTTGAAACTAGTTCTTTGAAATTATTTCTGAATATTTGAAATCAGTTTTCGAACGAGTACTGTCAATATTTGGATCGTCTGAAGGAAGCAATCCGTCAGGAGCGGTGAGCCCAGTCGATTAGGGGAGGAATTGTGTTCCATCAGGACAACGGCAGACCACACATCGATATCGATCGCTAGAAGTTTGCTTAAGAGGTTTTTATGTATCTGCCTTATACTCAGGACCTGGTCATTTCAAATATCTAGGTTGACGAAGTAAAATATCTTTTTCTTTTTTTTTCTTTCCTGTTAATAGTATTCTGTAGCATTTTGTCCAAGACGAGACCTTTGATTTCATAAAATCTCTCAGAAATGTCTCCATTTCCCAAGAGTGTTGGAAAGATATAAATATAAACTAGAGCAATATGTTTATGTAATGTATGTAATAATGGGTCTGGCAGTGAACGAGGGCAAGACGAAATATCTCCTGTCATCAAACAAACAGTCGTCGCACTCGCGACTTGGCACTCACGTCACTGTTGACAGTCATAACTTTGAAGTTGTAGATAATTTCGTCTATCTTGGAACCAGCGTAAACACCACCAACAATGTCAGCCTAGAAATCMAAMGCAGGATAACTCTTGCCAACAGGTGCTACCTCGGACCGAGTAGGCAAATGAGAAGATCAAACTCTGTAAGTCACTCATTATT